TCATGATCTTCTTGATATAAACGCCACTTACCTCGCTCCATGATAATTCATCCATCCTTCACCATCCTATCTCTACCTCTATTTCTATGGCATTAAATAGTAAATATTGTAAATTCTTATTAAAGGGATAGTTCACCCAAAAATGCTTACCCCCAGGGCATCCAAGATGTAGGTGACTTTGTTTCTTCAGTAGAACACAATGATGATTTTTACGCAAAACGCTTCGGCTCAACAGCGGAGAAAAGTCTGGATCTTCAGTCAGGCAGGTGTGTGATGGGACACCCTCGGCAATGTCCTTGTCGGCGTCTTGTAGTTGTGGCATTGCTATGCTCCATTCGTGACAACAGATGCTCTCCACTTCTGTTGGCATCTCACAACACTTACTACAAGAACACCACCACTTTTGAAGAGATCTCTGTCTCTCTGAGGCTTGAAGACGTGCTGCTGCAGCAGATGCTTCCTCCATCTCTCTGAGTTCTTGATCTGAGTATTCTGGTTCAAATAAATACGGTTGGGCAAAAAAATCCACGTGGTCTGTTGATATATCAAAATCGTCTTCCATTGTGATGACCTGTACGTCTAAATATCTTTAGATCTTCACAGTGGCAGGGAACACTTCCGCAATGACTGTGCACTGTGTAAACAATGAGTGACGTATACGCGCGAGAGATCACTTCCGGCACTTGCGTAAACTACGCCAGAGCGTGTACACACCTCACGCACCGGATGCCGTGCGCGCGCTCAAAGCAGTTGGACATAGTGGTGTATTAGAGGTAAAAAATGATATAAATACTGTTTGGTTTCTCTCACAAACTGATTGTTTCGTGTCTTAGGACATCAATGTGTCGTCACGAGCCGCAGGGTTTAATTTGGATTTGTCTGTGCATGTTTTTTTTACTCTCATAGATTTTGTTACCATTGCCATGCATTATACGACTGACAGACTGCAACGGTTGGAGTTAAAAATCATAATTTGTGTTCTACTGAAGAAACAAAGTCACCTACATCTTGGATGCCCTGGGGGTAAGCAGAAAAACATCAAATTTTCATTTTTGGGTGAACTATCCCTTTAAGTACATCTCCATCATGGGCATCAAGACGTTAACCTTTGTCTCCCATTGGCATCATTTATTTCAGATGACCCAGCCGGCATGTAAAAAAACTTTAGTTAGTCACTTCACATGTAAGTCAGATGTTCTCTTCATGTAAGTGGGCAGTTCCGGGACAGAATATCCTGCAATGAGGACCAGACGTTTTGACGCAAATGAAACTAAGCATAACAGCAGTTCTTCTACAAAATCAGGGCTGTGTTTCCTCTTTGTCAACAATAGGAGACTGGCACTAGAACAATGCTCAGAATATGAAGTTGGATATGTTATCTGATGCAAAAGTGTTGGACAGCTTGTTGCCCATACCAAAATGATAACCAGAATTACTTAATCTTTCCAATAAAGATTTTCTTTAAGGGAAGAGGTGTTCTGGCAGTTTGTAAAGCAATGTCATCAGGCTGAAGAAATAATCACAGGCACACAATGAAACACAAATACAGACACTGGTCAAAGTTATTATTGTAGAATACTTTGATTATTTTATACAGACAAAAAGTGTTGACTTATTTTCCCATTAAATTCTTAGATTTCCATACAGTTTAGTCTACAGTATACAGCTGTGTTCTTTCATCATATATAGATACTTTTTTTTTTCTCTTAAGTAACAGGCAGGTAATTATTAATATATTTAATAGTTCAATTTTTTTTCTCTTTTTTTTCCATTGTAGAGCAGTAAGTGTATGTTCAGGAGAATGTGCAACTGTTTTTTCCATCAGTTAAAAGAGCACTGATGGAAAAAGACAATAATAATCATAATAATAATCATCATCATAATAATGTACAAGCTGTTCAATTTGAATTCTTTACAAAAAAGCAAAAGGAGAAAGAAAGAGGAAGAGACCAGAGTAAAACAAAAAATGTGCTTAAATCGTAAACAAAAGATGCACGTGTACATTTTGGCAAAATGTACAATGATGGTGCAGTTGTACAATAATTTATAACTTTTATATTAAATATAGTATATTATTTACTCTTTTTCACATTAAATTTTTTTTTTCACCTTATCTTGCGTGATTTTTACAACAGAATGGAACAAAATGAAGGCAGTCGATGGAGTTTTGGATTATCTGTTTTCTTTTTTTAATATATATATATATATATATATATATATATATGTGTATATAAGAGGAGGGATACCATACATATACCACTGTTATATATATCATCACTGTCCGGAGAGTTCAATGATTTGGGTATACGTCTTAGATATAGTTCGATTTAAAAATTATTCAGAGACGAGCATAGGTTGAGGCCTATTTTGGTAGTTAAGCTTTGCTGAGGATAAGATAAGGTTAGGAAATGTTTCTTTATTATGGTATAGCAGGTTCACTGACCGATCCTCCCTGACCACCACTTTGGCTTGCTGATTGTGTCTGGACCTTTAAATGGGTTCAGTCTGTGAGACCTGCCAGCGCTCTCGAAACACTAGAGACTCCACTGGAACTGTCTGAGCCTGATCCAACCCAGCCAAAGGTCGGACACACTCATGCAGATATAACACAGTTTTGCTTGAAGGAATATTCCGGGTTCAATACAAGACCACAAAAATTACTTTTAAGTATTTTTTAAAAGAAAATGAGAGACAATTATCAATAATATTATTGATAAACTACATAAGCAAAAATTGAGGTTGCGATGAGGCCCTTACAATGAAATTGAATGTTTTTTGAAAGATTTAAAAGAAGAAATGTGACACTTATAATCATACAAATCGCACATACATAAATTCTTCTGTATTATTTGAGCTGTAAAGCTGTTTAAACAATCATTTTATGGTTTTATGGTCTATGCTGTTGCATCATCATGGCAAAACTGGTCAATTTGGATTTAATTTTACACAGAAAACATTAGTAAGTGATTTTTCCCACACTAAATTCATGTTGACATTCATACTGTTTACATCTTGTGGCTACACTATTAGAACAATGAGTATTTAAATGTTTATGGATAGGCCCCATTCACTTCCATTGTAAGACCCAGGTTTTTGCTTTATTTTTATAAAGAAAAGCAGGGTCTGAACCCAGAATATTCCTAAAAAAAGGGTTTCCATTTAAAGATCCAACGACAAAATGTTCTGCTAGTCGTAGAACGAGTCAACCCATTTTAAGCAACGTGTCTGTTGGCATTTAACTAGTCAGATTGGCAGTGCAACACTGCTCCACCTCCAGGCTCCATGCCATAAACAGGGCAGAGTATCAGGAGGAGAACATTAGCATGGACTATAGCACATTAATGACAGCACAGATGCGCTGGGAGGAGAAACGTGTGTCCAACCGCCAACCGCTTAAGAGCCACAGTGAAGCATCGACAGACAAAAGTGAAGTCAAACAATGACAGTGTAAAGCGAGCGATATGATATCAACATGCTCTGCAAAGACATGACCGACCAATGCAATGGCATGATCTAGTGATGCTCATGCTTGCATTGTCTGCTTTCGATATTCGCCAGTTTCTTTGAACTGGACACTCTAGAAAAGTGTTCTATACAGATAAAGTTTTTTTTTTCGAGATCCGTATGTACATGTCGTGAAGCGTATTTCACAGAGCTGTGGGCAGGGCAGTCTGTTGCATAAGTGCCAGTCTCGTTCCCCAAAATGATTGTATTAGGTTGCAATGCATCAACTGTAGCAGTATGATCGTAACGGTACCATTCCAGACGATTATGGGGTGTAAAAGGAGGTAATTCCGGATGGTACAACTCATCAGTGGAATGTCAATGGAATGTAACTGAATCAAACACACTATCATCTGACATGGAGAATCATGCATGTCTTTTCATATATAATAAGGAATACTGTTCTGTGCAAACATGTTGTTCTGAAATGCTAAAGTATGGACCAATAGCCAGACAGTGTGTCTATCAAAGTCCACAGTGAACGTTTGCTCAGTAAACTTTGATATTGTGCAAAAGTAATGATAACCTCACGGATTGTCCATCTTTAGTTTCTTTGATATTTTTTAACTATGGTGTGGCAGTATAAGATGGATTCCCTACCCTGGTGACCACAGTCTGCTATTCACAATCTGATAAATATTCCACACACATGAGGAAAGCAAGTGTGAGTGTGAATGTATTTAAAGGGCCAGCAGATATGCATGTACTGAGCGAATAGAATTATTTGAACATGTTTAAAGGGTTGATGCATTTGTTGGTGTCATCTGCACAACATGAATTTTAATGGCTTTTATGTCAAAGAAATATAAGACACCATTAAATGTTGAGTCTGGGCAAACCCACTGAAATCCTTAAATCCAATTTCAGCTACTTTGAACAAGGTAAGACATATTAACAAGGCCATTTTGTCATACAGCTGATTGCCATTGCTGAGATGAAAAACCACCGAAATCCCACCCATGACCATTGAATCTCTGTGATGGGATTGCCCAAATCCTCTACCCTGTAGCATATTTTAAACATGAACATGTTGCGTAAATTTTTAAAATATCATGAGCATGATTTTTGTGTTTAAAAAAAAAAATGCTTACTCTCACTTAGAGTGAAGCTACAAATTGCCCTCAAATAATAGAATACTTTTTCTTTTACACAAAACGCTGAAAAACAATGATCATTAAAATGGTGCGGCAACGTTTTTGTCTTCTTTTTGTTATCAGCAGACGCATTATAATTGAATTAGTTTAAGCTTCAAATTAATATTATCTTTGCTTTGTTAGTACTTATTTTTTTCTAGCTTTTTTATGCTTTCAGGACAGACACGACACACACACAGACACATAGCGAGAGATATAGACAAAGTGAGAATGAAAAAAAAAATCTTGGTGATCACAATAAATAAATGAATAAATAAACAAATAATTAATAAATAAAATGTTTTAAAGCTAATCCATAAAGCATTACTCAGAGTAATAAAATTAGTTTCTGTGATATCGCAATGATAATCCGAGCACTCGGGATGACAGTGGCAATAGTAAGAAGTCAAACATGATAATAATTATATTGAGTTTAGTAACACCGATAAAAAGTAAAGTGAATGGACCCCTACTCCACCCATAGGGAACATATTCCTTTGCATTCTGAGAAGTCAATAGTCACCAGCACTAAAGAGCCACTAAAATCCATCGGGTCTGGATTCCTCACCTTCTCAGGTCCATCCAAAGGAACCACAGACACGCAACAGACTGGCCTCCTCTCCACACGGTGAGAGGAGAGGTGTCTGTGGGGCTGTTGTTGAGACATGAGGGGTGATAGTGCTTTCGGTGGATGGTGGTAGTGGGCGAATGATTGTAATGGGACGACCCTGCCTTAGTATTGGGGGTCAACCACCTACCACATGTCCGTAGGAGCCTCCCAGGAGCCAGCCTGACCCGCACAAGTCCACATCCTCAAAGTTCTTAGGGTCTTATCCTTTGGAGCGCAGTTAGTCATAGAGAGGTCTCCAGGGCGAGGAGGGGGTACAGCTGTCGAGAGGGGGTTGTCCAATGGCCGTCTAGGCCTGTGGGGAGGTTCAGGTGGCATACGCCACTCTCAATGGCATTGTTGTTGCGGTTAGGCGTGGCGGGGAGGCTGTACTGGCGGTAGGGACGGGGCGGTGGGCGGGAACGCTGCGGATGCTGGACCGGAGGAGGAGGGGGCTTTCGGAAAGCCGGATGCAAGTGGTGGCTGTGCCTCGACCACTCCGATTCATCATTGGGTTGAAACAACCCAGCATTTTTTAGAGTGTAGGTACAGTAATAATTTTGTTTTGGTACTTAAAGGTGCAATGTGTAATTTCTAGTCACAAAAAAACAGAATTGCAAGAAATTTTTCTTTTTTTCCTTCTTTTGATGCAAATGCTTCAGTTTTAATGTAAACACTTAAACCCAAAGTATACTTCAGTTTTAATGTGAACGCTTAAACCCAAAGTATACTTCAGTTTTGATGTGAATGCTTAAACCCAATGTATGCTTCAGTTTTAATGTGAACGCTTAAACCAAATGTATACTTTAGTTTTGGCGCAAACACTAAATCCCAAAGTGTACTTTAGTTTTATAGCAAATGCTTAAGCCCAAATTATGTTTCCGTTTTGACACATCAAAACTGAACTGTACACTTCAGTTTTGACGCAAACATTTATGTTTACAGCTGAACATGTAGCCTTTCAAAGTATATTCCATTTGATAGCATGTGCGAAAACAGGTGTCCTACAAATGCACATTTTTGACTGTGAAACAACAGAAATAACTTTTATTTTTAGAGGTGGGGATTTTTCAGTGACTCTTTCTGCATGTTACAACCTTAAGCAAGTAGATGGTGACAACACCGGTTATGAGTAATTGAATAATTCATTCAACCAATTAATTCAATCACACTGATTCATTCGGCAATGAAACAGCACACTGTTTGTTGCTTGAAGACTCAACAGTTAATTCTGCTGTGGATTCATTTGGAACTATTGGTGGAGCAAAAATCGGCAAAATAACTGATAATATTCTTTTTAAAATGTAAATTACCCCTAATTTTTACTTGTATTTATTGAACTGTCAAATAAAAACAATACCATACTTGCAATTGTTGTTCTTTACTGGTCTAAATATCAGCATTCTTGCTAATATGATATTGCTTTATAGGTTGGTCTTTGTAATAAAAACTGTACCACTAGAAAAACACTACACATTTGTAGTTTCTAATACTACATATTTTCTTTCCTTTGGTCATCCACCAGTGCACGATGCCCCTGGTCATTGGTTAAGCCAATGATGGGATGCTGAAACAAACAGATTGCAATTCTGTTTTAGGTTTTATGCTGCAGAAATTACACAATGCACATTCATTATTTAGATTCTAATACCTATAAACTAAGGCTTTATACTAAAGCTGCACAACCAGATCTTAAGTGTTTCTCAAAGAAAGACAGATGATAAAAAAAATAAATAAAACCAAATCTAAGATGGACCCAAGCTGTCAATTCACAGTTATCACTCAAAATTAAAGGTGATGGACATTCTCATAAGCTCAAAACAGAAAACAGACCAGGCCTCAAACAAAGAGATGAATGGAAGCACAAAGTACCAAACAAACAGCCAATACAAAACATACGTCATGTCTGTATATTGACTTATTAGTGGTGAAAACTGAAGTAGTGACACGGAGAGAAAGAGAAGCATAAAGGAGGATGTCTTGATATACACATAGACACACAGCCAATGGAAGAAACAGTGGGTAAGAATCTGCAACACAGTGCTAAGCAAAGGGGATGTAATGAATAGACAGAAGCATGACTGGGGGTCTGGCTGGTAGGATGGAGGGAGGACGCACCCACAGTGATGCACTATGCTGTTCTCGGAGGAGTTATGACATACTCCTCAATTGTACTAGCAGCATTCAGGAGTGTAGTAACAATGAAGCAATGGCACTCCAGTAATGTGATTGTGATGTCATAACAGAAGCCATGGAGACAACATGCGTAATGAGGCCATCAGCCAATGGTGTCAGTTAATGCCAATGAGTGATAATAGGTCATAAGCTGTGAAGATATCATGTGGCTGAGGTGTTAAATATCAAAGGATCTGTAATCTCATCTATGGTTTTATATGTCTCCCTGATCAGCAAAATGAGTTTAATTCCAGTTTGCATTCTACTGTCATGATTTACTGGAAATGGAAATTCCATATAATAATAACAATAATAATAGTTATATAAAACATATTATGAGCACTTCCAGAAAAAAATGTTAGAAGACTTATTACATTCTCACTAGTATAATTGAACTTCAATTGTACTAATAACTATGTCCAACAACAGACATATGAATCATACAGGAAGGAGAATTCTCTCATTATTTTATCAAACGCATGAACATTTCCACCACATTTCAAATTAAGTTTTTTTTTATTCGGTCATAAAATGGAATAAAATGGCAAATTATCTTACTATTTTAATTTCAATATGTAATTTCATAGCTAGCATTTTATGTAACCTAAAACTAAACAATAATTTTATTTTTTTTTAGGATAAGTTGAAAAAATTACAGCTTAATTAGAAAAAATGTACAATAAAAATATTCTGCTCACAAGCAATATTTTCCTTTTTTTTTTACAGTATAATTATGGCAGAAACGAGGAACAGTAATTTGTGTAAAATAATCTACAATTAACTTTCACAATAAAAATGTTGAAATGTATTTTGATTATTTAAAAAATATATATTTTAGGATTGAATCATAGTTTGAGAGGTTTTTTTTCAGTTTTAATGTGACCTTCATATAAAAAAAGTTTTAAACCTGTTATCATTATTTTTTTTAAATTAACTCATATGACAAAATAGTGCATATTTCAAGAAACACATGCAAATTATCTACAGATGTGTGAGTCTGCTCTGGTAGGCCTATATGATAAATTACTCTACAGGCTCAGATTACACTGACTGCCAGAGGATAAGTTATAAAATTTCCAGAGACATCATCTAGATGGATGATGATGACTTTTCTGGGACTAGTCACTTCCTGGCACTGAGCCATTGATTACATGACACCAACCGCTGTGACAGAAGACCTTAACAAGCACCATCACACTGACAAGAACAGAGCAGGCACAATAAACAAGGTCACAGCATCTCTGGTTTCTGCAAAAGTCAACTTATCAGCACAAATGGATCACACCTTTGTACAGTTTCATAGGCCTGGACTTGAATTTTGTTTTTTATCTTGGTAAGGGATACTATTTTTGATTACTGTTTAGATGACATATTCATATTGTGGATGTTTAGAAAGGTGTGGAAAAGCACATTCAGTGAGAGAGATAGAGAGAGTGCAAACATCTTTTGGCATGCAGCAGAGCAGTCGAGTGCAGATGACACACAGAGAAGAAGAGCTGAAGAGTGCTGATGAGATCTGCCTCAGTCTATATGCAGACAAAAGAAGAAGGAGCACGGGAACCGATCAGAAAGCAAAATGCTCATTCCAGTGCAGCTGTCTCGTTGTCGTGTTACAGGAACAGAAACAATGAAAGTCGAGGTCAAACTCAAAAACTTGAATGCATGATGGTAAGCAGTCAGGCTCATGCTGTAAGAGTAACTCAAATGCGGCTGGAGCACATATACACACGCGTCTCTCGTGTGTATATATTCAGAAGGAAGGAGATTTGAGAGCGCAATCCTTTGCTGTGGCCACAGGCCGGTGCCGCCCACCCCAACCCTCTTTTCAACACTCACCCAGCAAAGGAAAAGAAGCTAAAATGACCAAGAAAGAATTTACAAGAGACAAAACAAACAAACAAACAGGAAGGGACAGTCAAGCATTTGGTTAATTGCTTATCTGTTTTTCCAAAGAGCCTGTTTGTTGAGAAAAAGTCATGCAAATCTGAATTGAGAGACTTTGTTTTCATTTTTTGTTCTTTGAGTTTCTGTCTTTCTGTTTTTGCATGGATACAGGTAAACGTTCGAGTATATCGCCCGCTTTTGGGAAATGTGTGTTTGTTTAAAACTGATTGAGTTTTTTTCTCTCTCTCTTTGCTCTGGATGTTTGCATGCCAGATTACTATCCACTGTCTCCCCCACGCTGTCCTTCAAAGAAGAAAAAGCTTGATGGAAAAACTTTATCATTAAAACCGAAAACCAAAAAAGACTTCTTTACTCAACAAATATTTCCCAAAGATGTCTGAAATGAAAATAGATCTACACAGAAAGATTTGAAAGCAGACAAAGTGATAAGATGCAGGAAAGGAGAGGAAGTAGTTAACAGAGCAGTGATGAAATAATGACTTCGTGTTGAATTTGTAAGAATGCATTCAGAAAGGTTTATGCATAAAGACTGTAAAAGAGTAATCGCTGGACCTATTTTCACTCTTTATAATGAGTAAGTAATGAAGCTGGTCAAATATGACAGTATCTAACTGCTGACTTTAATTTGACATCATCTATATTTAGAAGTGACTGTAAATGCTCTAAAGCATACAGTGCAGTTCTCTCAATTTAAAGAATTTCAAATTGTGTCCTATTAATGTAATGTATTAATGTATCTACATTTTTTTCTCTTTTTTTTGTTGCCAAACTTCAAACAAGGCTTATAAGGAGTTATTTAATTACAGCAATAGGTGTATTTTGTATTGGTATTCTTTTCCATAATTTATGATTTATCTCACATATCTTACATATTTGGATCTTGAACAATTTAACTATGGTGAACTTTATGAAATTATACAATATTATACATTTAGCAATGCACTTTATAAAATGCACTGTATAATCTGATGGCAGAATTCACACAGTGACACAGTCTATGAATATGATTATTCTTTATCAGATGGTAGTAATCAAAGCTAGGAAAACTTTAATAAATTAGCGTCGCTTGGACATTTCCACTTATATTACAAAATATATTCCACTGACTGATAGTGAGCATCTGTTTTGAGCAGTGAACCATTACCGTACAAGGCAAATGTTTGAGCAAATGAGTGAGATAAACATGAATCTATCAGTGACAGCACTGCGTCTCTTGTCAACATCTGGGTTACAATGTGCACCCATCTTACAAAACCTAAAATGAAAACAAACTTGATCCGTAGATCTGTCAAATATTTGAAAACAAACATTTGTGTGAGACAGCTGCGAGGAAAAAAAAACACATTTTTGGAGAGCTGTGATTAATGATTGATCTAAATATAGTGTTTTCTTCTCTGAAGAGATACAATGCTAGCATAAAATTATTTTCAAAGATATGCATATAATATATAATATATACATCATAAATGAATAAAAATACTACATTTAGGCAAAGACATCAACACACTAACATCTACTAAATGTTTCTGTAGTATGATTTCTAACATGAGGTTGACAGAATGATGTTTAAACTAAAGTTAATGTTTGCAAATCTCAGTCAAAGCCAAAGAAAATTTTGCGTGAGAAAAACAACAAAATGATATGTATAGGGCTGAAAAAGAAGACTGAGTAGTGGCACATTTCACCCATATAAGCACAGTACGCAGACACAAAGTGAAAAATGTGATGAAAAATGTACAGATACACATGAATCACATCACAGAGCAGTCAGACGCAATGATATGGTAGTCGTGATTAACATTTCTAGCCTGAAAAAAATAAATAAAATAAAAAATAAATATATATATATATATATATATATATATATATTTTTATTTATTTTTTTTTTTTTTTTCTTTTACAAAGATGGAGAAATAGCTGGGGAAATAATCTATAAGCATTGATAAACATTTAGTTAGTCCACTATTCCCAGCAAGAAAACATAATACACACATTCTTAAAATCTCTATTAAAGTGCTATTAGGGTGTATAAAGCATTGTTCTGGGTTCAAAACAAGTCGAAAGAATAGTTCACCCAAATTGTAATTATTACTCTTTAAATTACCATTCTGTCATCATTTACTCACCCTCATTTTGTTCTAAACCTCTATGACTTTATTTCTTCAATGGAACACGAAAGCAGATATTTATAGCTAAATCCAAGTCCAAGCCCAAACTTCCATACAATGAAAGTGAATTGTGACCATCCAAACACTTTGAAGGTTTTTTTTTTTTAATACTTAAATGTTGGTCTGTTCCTCTCACAATGCTGTTTGGATATAGTGTGTATGCTACTTTTAGAATGCTTTTAAGGTGCTTTTAATGAAGAACTTGGTCACCATCCACTCTCATTGTATGAAAGAGCAGCATGAACATTCTTTAAAACAATCTTATTGCATGTTTCACATATGAAAGAAAGCCATTCAGGTGTGGAACGGCATGAGTTAGTAAAGTATTTTAGGACAGAATTTTAACTTTTGACTATTGACAGCATATGTAATCTTTGATAGTTTTTATAAACTGATGGACAAGCTGATAATATTTTCAACAGAATTACACAGATGCTAGAGCTGAACTTATTTTGAACCCTTGTTTTGATTCCTTTAAAGAATGATATCTAGAATGTACTATGTTTGATAGAAAAATGAAAGACTGTTTGTTAGTTTAGAAGAGTTTAGAAGATGCATACAGAGCAGAGAACAGGAGACGGGTAAAAATAGATTTAAGCCATGAACCACGTGAACCATGGGACAGAGAAAAAGACTGTGAGGATCTGTGGAAGAGAGATGAAGTCAGTAGCACAGAGACATTAGAGGATGCTTTCACACAGTCTTATGATGAAAGTTACAAGATGCATTATCTGGAAAAAAGTAACAGAGGGAA